GCACCGACACATTCCGCCTCGTCCTGGCTACAGGCGGTACTCGCCATCCATGTCGGGTTTCTCTTGGGGCATCACGGGCTTTCGTGTTCACCCAACTCCGTGCAGGTGCATTACTTGGGCCCCAGTTGCAAAAAGGGCGTATCTTGGATGCTGCTCCCACCCAGAAACAGTTCGACAGGCTTCTTTATAGCCTTTATATGACCCCGAATATAGACGGTTACAGGGTATACCAGTACCCCAGGTTTATCTATCTTCTACTTCTGGTCATATGACTCCAACCCCTAAATTGTAGACCCTGCTGGAACGTCAAACCGAAAAATCTCATCAAACTTCTGTAGTTGTGATATGGGAAACAAGAGACCTGCAAGGTTTACGCTCTAAACCCTGTCGAATCCTAAACCCTGAATAGCGTAACAGGTCTGGGAAGCTCGGAGATTGGAAGAGTGGATTGCAGCCCAAACTTGGGGACTTTTCTGAGCAGAGTTCCGAGTTTCGGGTAATCGTCTGGGTTTAATGTTTGGCGTTGGGAGTTTAGAGTTCAGAGTTTCGGGGTTGGGGCTGCTTCAGGTGATCTTCAGAATTTCTGAGACAGGCTTCTTGTTATCTGGCGGATCGTTGTTGTTGGCACGGTGCCCTGAAACGGCACACTCCTACACCCTCGAGAGCACCACATTGTACCATGTCGAAGTAGTGCTATGCAAGAGCATGAGCTGTGACCGAAGCTGTACGAATGAAGGGGTGAACCCACTCTCAGCAGCGTTTTCGTTCTTTAAACTTTAAACCTATACCTTAAGTGCATAAGCTGTTCCTACTACATGCCACACCCTAGACCCAAGTCCCCGGGTCCAACACGTGTCCCCCTGCACTTTGTACGGTGAGGGGGGGCCTCGACCCACCTCGCAACCCAGCGCAAACACGAAGCCATAATAACAACACAACCAACAAGAACTAACGGAAGTGAAAAATAGTACCAACCATCATTAAAGAACAACAAAAAGAATACGAGTAATTTCGAACAAACCAGTTTGTTGTGATGAACCGGGTATCAATACAACGACTTCTGCTAAGAATATTTTCAACAGCTATATACGATAAAAGACCATTCAAGCTCTCAGCCCGTGGGCCCTTTGTACCGACAGTTCTCAGAGCCTCAAACGCTTCCCACGTGGAGGATCATGGGACTTAGTAACTAGGGGTATAAATAAGGTAACTATACTTATAACTCCAATTAGGGTACTTATCATAACATTCAACTCTATATACTTATAAACACTTATACAACATCAAACTACACTTAGAAATACCTACAGCCCCGATTAGGGTACCTATAACCTTACTTACTAAGTCCCTAAGTCCCTAAACCCTAAACCCTAAACCCTAAACCCTACCATGCAGGGCACTGCCTCATGGCCTCGGCGGACCCCGACGTGAGGGCACGTGGGGGCGGATGCGGGGGGGGGGGGGGGGGGGGTCGTGGAAGATGTAATATGGGAGTTTCCGAAAATTTGGGGTACCTTTATTTTGGGGTCCTTATAAGAAGGATCCTATTATTTAGGGTACTATATTAGGGTCCCCCATTTTCGGAAACTCCCATATGGGGGCCTTAATAATTAGAGTGGGGTTCCTTTAAAGGGGTCGATACGGGATACTATGAGGGATCTATAAGGTTAAGGGGGGTCGTGGATATGGATATGGACACTAGGGGGCCCTGATAAAGTAGCCTAAATAGTAGGATCCCTATTATATTCGGAAACCCCCATATGTGTATGTGGATGTATAGGTGTAGTTGTGTACTTGTGTATGGATATCTGCATGTGTATGTGTATTGTACGTGTATTTGTGTATGAGTATATGTATGTATGTACGTTCGTAGGTAGGTATGTATGTATGTATGTATGTAACTTTGCATATGCATATGTTCATATACATATGTCTATATAAATTATACATATATATATATATACAAATGTATATGTATATATATATATATATACAAATGTATATGTATATATACACACATGCATGCTACATGTCAACAGCTTTTGCATGTGTGATAAGACATCAAAATTTTAGGTTGATTCTCTGGGACAAGGCAAGCACGTCGTGCACAGTGCTTGCGAAGCCTCAAATCCACCCACTCCTTATAAACACTTGGTCAACATTCGGACGTTTTAAGAGAATCTTGGCAGGTTCACGGACAAAGAAGGAACCTTCGAAGATCGGAAGCACAAGAAGCCAATGCCAACCAAGTGAAAGCTACCACAGTACAGCACAGGCCATGTCATCGGCCTTCTCCACTGTAGCCACACAACCGGGACGAAGGACAATGGCGAGAATAATAAGAAGAGGCTCATGCCAACCTCGTAGTAAGAAGTAAGAGAGCAGCCATCAAATTTTTCTGGTAGAGCAGCCACACAATCATCAACATCCTGATCAACATAAGTGCATGTGAAGAACTCAAAATGCTAATGCAATAGTCGAATCAGACTCCAAGCTGGTGGCACCTGCATTGAACACCCTGATTTCATGCCGCACATGCACTGGTACTCAACCCAAACGCCAGTAAACCCTAATTTTGTCTACATCCCAGCAAGGGCTCATAGGAGCTTCCTTTCAAAGCCTAAGCTCTACAATCTCAGTAGCATTGCATTTACACAAAAACTCAGAGGAAATACACCCCCCAGGTGCCCTCTCTGGCGCGCTGTCAGCTTCAGGCCGGACCTTCTTCAGTTGTCTGCGAGGTTTGCTCGGGTTCTGTTTTTGTGCAAGAGGTTCGGGTTCAGGGTTCTGTGTTATGTGCAAAAAAGGCCGCTGGCTAAGGCTTAGGGTTCTGCGTTATGATGTGCTGAAGGGCCGAGGGTCTAGGATCAGGGCACTGTTCAGGTACAAGGCGGGCTTTGGAGGACTCCGGGCTCGGGATGCAGGTAGTTAACGCTTCAAGAGTTGAGATTGCTTCTGCCAGAGAAGCTTCGAATAAAGCGCCGTACGATGCCATACGTAATACACAGCCTTGAAACGCAAAGAAACTTCCTACACGTGAAACCCAGTGAAAGCTTGCCGCTCCCTTCTTCAAAGTGAGGGCGAAGCACATTCCAATTCCCCCGCCTCACTCAGACTTTGTTTCCACAGGACTCCTTTAGAGTAGGGATGCTCAAGACGGATCCTAACTCAGGCAAGACGAGTTCAACTCACAGAGGTGTGCTCCAACTAGGACCCGCAACCCTCAACCCGAAACGCTACCTCCCAAATTCGGAACAGCTCCCAGAACCGCAAGCACGGCTCGACGAAGGATGAGGCGCAGCACTGGCGATGGGCCAAGCCTTCCCTGAAGCTGCTCGGTAGCAAAGCCGGGTATATTCGCATATTATTCTATACTATATTCACAGTATATCTTGATGATGGCACGGCAGAGAGAGAGGGATTCACAGTATATCATTATCATTATACCAGACTTACGGCGGGGAATAAGTCTAAACCAAGATGGGTCTGCCAGGGTTTAATAACCGGAAGAGCAGACAGCACGCCCTCTGAACTTACACCCTCGACCCTGAGCCCTCGCAAAAACTTGGTGGTCTTCTAAACGGTCCCATAAAGCGAAACAAGGAGCCAGCGATCCGACCTACATGGTAAACAAGGCCTGACATAGGGTACCTGTCATGTACACAGAAGCCTAAAGCCCCTAAACTTGGACCCTAAAGCCGGGAGCGTCGATACCCTACAAGACCTTCATTGTTAAAGCTGCGCTTGGCCAGGTTAGGCTTGAAGCCTGCCGCGAAGACGGACATCTGTCCGGCACTCGGCAACCCTAAACCCGTAAAACGGCGGCGTTCATTGCTCCTTGTAAACCAGAACTGTAGGTCAGCCAGTTTCTACCGACCAGTCAAAGCTCTGCGCACCGAGACCTCGTTTGGCTTGTCCGAGTTGCGAGAGCGTAAAACCTCGTTTGGCTTGTCCGAGTTGCGAGAGCGTAAAACCGGCTGCCCCTTTGGTCGAGACTGCGAGGTCTTTCAAGGATGGGTAGGCGACTAGAGCCGAGTCAGGGTCAGGATGGTGTTGGCAAAGTTGCGAAATTGGCACGTGCTACCGGGACTCGTGTTCGTAGACCAAGTGAACTCGCAAGCGCAAAGCCTCTTCAATAGCTTTCGCCCGAGGTCTGGACATCGACAACGGTCAAAACCCCCTCCTGTATGCAGCTAGGCTTGGTGTTCAGAGCCTGCCTTTGATCCTCAGTCATTGTGGCCGTCTGCATCGTGCAAGGAGGACAGTTTGAAGGGTTTTCGGTTGATGTCGCTGCCAGTTTCCCGAGAAGAGAAGCATTTAAGCTTGGGAGATGAGTTTCCAGACCTTGGCGGCCGAATTTGCTTGCCCTGCCAACTGTTGTGGGTTCCCGCCCGTGTCACGCAGATGTCGGCGAGCCGATTGATCTGGCACCACCGCTAAGGTGTGCTACAGCATGGAGGACGCCCATGCGCCGCACGGCGTCGTTAACACAAATCAAGCTCTCTGGCTGTGGCTTGGCGGCATGAATGGCGCTTCAGACAGGGTCCACTGCGCATCGACACACGCGCACACGAGCAGGCAGACAGGCCTCTGCATGTTTTGGGCAGTTCCGAAATACGCCCCAAAGTTAACCTGAAGTACACCTGAGGCATGGCGAACCAGAGCACACGGGGCAACCTCAACTCAGCGGATATGCACAAGAGTTGCCGTAATCAAGCATTCTTCGCGGGACTTGACGGGCCGTGGAGCGAAGGGCTGTTGTCAGCCTTTCCACAAGGGCTTGAAGGTTTGGTGTGTTGCGTTCAGATTTGGAGTCTTCAGAAGACAGCTGAGGACCCCGGCGGGCCACCTGACGTGCCTCGGACGCAGAAGTGTTCTCAATCCGGGTGGGTGGTGAATGGGCCCCCGGTCCTACGAGCCAGCTTCGTACTTGTGCATGCGACGCTTCCGAGGAGACGAAATACGCCCCAACATGATACACCTTAGCTGAGAGCGGTGGTATGACGATGGCGATGATGTTCCTGGGGGCGGTTGACAGCAAAGGAGGTGGTGATAGACAGCAGTGCTTGGGGCATCGACAACTTTGTCGGTCTAGGGCCCAGAATGCAGCATGCCACCCTGAAGACGCAACAGCCCTAAGCACCCCGAAGTCCTCGCTCATTATCATCTCACTTTTGTCACAGTCAGAACATCTACCAGTCTACTTATCACTTCCATTTCCTTCATCGTTATCATTACCACCATGATTAACTTTGACCTTGAGCTTCAACATCACCACCAGTATCAGTATCGTTACCACTATCACATTTACTATCAGCGCCACTATCACCACCATCATCATAACTCCTAGTACTAGGTTTGTTAGTGCTATTGCCATGTTCTTACTGTTCTTCTTCCTCTTCTTATGTTAGTTTTGTTCTCATGATTGCTATCATTGTTACCAGTTCTGTTGTTCGCATTATGATGATAATGATCGTGGTGGTGGTTATTGTTACCGAGGATATAACTATACCATTACCATCATCATTGTCACCATCGTCCCAATTATCATGGCCAGTATCTTTTTTAACGCAGTTGCCACTGTCAGTGTCATCATCACTATCGACACATGTTCGCTTTCTTCTTCTTAGTACTATTACTAAGATTATCATTACCTCCATGATGCAAGCTACGTTTGCTTTTTGTCATTATTGTTAGTATGATTGTGACTACTACCATTCCTATGAGTACTGGTCTTGTACTACTACTACTACTACTACTACTACTACTACTACTACTACTACTACTACTACTACTACTACTACTACTACTACTACTACTACTACTACTACTACTACTACTACTGGTTGCGCCCGACTTTCGCAGCTCACCAGACCCAAGCACAGCAGCATTCCTCGCAGAGCCGAGAGCCGCTGACGCAGAGACCAGGCCAGGGGAGGAAAAAAGACAAAGCCGAGCCCTTAAAGGGGCCTAAACCCCAAAGGGGTTTATACAAGGGATCTATAGTAGGGTTCTATATTAGGGCCCTTAAAGTGGTCTGTAAGGGAATTTATAGGGGATCTATCAGGGTGCAATAATATAGAGGGGCCTTAATTGCTACCTCTACTATTTTGGGGGTTCCTTATTATAGTTATAGTATAATGGGCCCCAAAACCCTATTCTAATTATTATGGCCCCTATTTTTAACCCAAACCCTTGTGGTACCTAAACCTTGCTTCGCGACTCGTTCAGCCATGCGAGAGGCAACAGAAACCCAAAACCTGAAGCATAAACCCTAGACCACAGACCCTGCACGCCCTAAGTTGTGGGGCTAGGGCTAGGGATTTTTGCGGTTACCTCCGGTGGAAGACCACAGGCTTGGAAGTGATGTGGCAGCTAAAGGCGCTCATCCGTCTGCCCCTTCCTGCAGTCTTATGTGGTCTTTTCCTGACATTGCAGGGCTGTGAGGAGCTGCAGCATGTCAAGAAGGAAGCAGAGGCGGTGTTTGATGGAACCAACGAAACCAAGAGACGCTTCAAGAGTTCCGGGAGGCCTGGGAATCAGACTGACCGCGAAGGCCCCACGTATGCTCCCGTGGCCAAACGATCCAGGAGCGTGCAAGAGTCCTCCATCCCACTCTCCGCCGTCTCTTGGTCGGGAGGTCAGCGACTGCTGATGGCAGTTTCACCCGTCTCCTCAAGCGGTGAGCTGCTGCCGGCACAGAAACTGGTCGTCGACACGGGCTCATCGACGCTTGCGTTTTGTCAAAGCAGCTTTCTTCAAGAGGCTGCTTTTGAGTCCACGGACTACATCTCTTGCAATCAGTACAATCCAGGTGGTGATCCGACGGGGTACTGGGGCCCCTTCGTCCAGGGAGACGTCCTGGCTGGCAACATGACTTTCCAGAAGGCCTCGTACAGCATTATGGCTTTTGAGGAGAATATGCCGTGTAAAGACGGCATTCAAGGAATCTTCGGCATTGCTTTCCGCCAGTTGGATGCCACCAGGCTGCGCTGAGACTCTCACCTAATCTCCAGAGACCGCAAAACCCTTCAATTCAGGAATAGACCTTAACTTGTAATATTTTCCTCAAACAAGGGATTTTGGAGTTTCTGGGTCATCTACATAATCAGATCTTTTTTTTGCAGCTCCGGCTTTCAGGGGGTTGAAAGGCGAGGGTTGCAGCGATGAGGTGGCCTATCCTGCGGGTACGACGCTGCCCAACTGGGACACCGGCAAGGCTTCGTGCCCAGACGCAGCGGGTGTGGTGCCACCTCCGATGATCCAGCAGCTTCGATCGGAAGGTGGGGCGTTTTGGAACTGTCCTGAAAGCTCCGACAGTTTCTACTTGGTAGGCTGATAGGTCTCAAGCTAAGTTTGGCTAGAGCGCGTGACTTTCCACCTCTTCGCTGAATCGCCCGAAGCTCTCGATGCAACAGATCCTCAAAACCTCGTCAGGTGGGGTGGAGAAGCTTGGTATCTTCTGGTCCGGGCAGGTGGGAGAGAACCAGGGCCGACTGTACCTTGATGCGGCGGCTGTGACGAACGAGTTCCTCGCCTGACCTTCGAGAGGGGGGTCAAGGGGCCCACAGGCCTATAAGGGTAGTAATCGTAGTAATCGTAGTAATCGTAGTAATCGTAGTAATCGTAGTAATAGTAGCAATAGTAGCAATAGTAGTAATCGTAGTAATAGTAGTAATAGTAGTAATAGTAGTAATAGTAGTAATGGTAGTAATAGTAGGAATAGTAGTAATCGTAGTAATAGTAGTAATAGCACCATGAGGTTTGTTACGAGGGTCCTGCAGGGTTTTAGCAGGATCCTGCGTGCGGATACCGATGGTTTGGGCTTGGTCTTGGTCATCTTGGGGTGCCGGGGCCTGGGTTTCGTGTCTCTTTCTGCTTGTCGGAAGCTTGGTGGAAGTTCTGACAAACCCTGAACCCTAAACCCTAAACCCTAAACCCTATATAAACCCTAAACCCTAAACCCTAAACCCTAAACCCTTGAAAGCTCCAAGCTTCTACGGCCCAGGCACTACAACAAGTCGTCAGTTCTGGGTCCGGCCGTGTTGGGAGAGGTCGGATGGTACGACGTCACGGTGCAGAAGATCCAGTTGGGCGGCCGGGAGTTCGCCAACTTCGATTGCGATCCGAACACGCCTGGTAAGCAGTGTATCATGGCACCTTGTCTCGGAAGGTGGGTGCAACATTTTATACCATTTTCCTTGTTCTGACTATAGTATAATGGCCCAAAAACCCTATTCTAATTATTAAGGCCCTTATCCTGTAGAGGTTTTGGAGGGCCCTTCAGAGATTTGGGCTTCGGGTGGGACAGCCGAGGACACAGGAACCCCTGCTCTGGTGCTTCCGCCGGAGGTCTTCGAGGCTGCTGCCGAGCTGATCAACTTCGGAGAGCCTGCGAGCCTGACCTTCTTCTTGCCTGGCGCCTCCGGGGAGCAGGAGGTTCCGGTGAGCTTTGACCTGATCGCCCTGAACAACATGGCGGCCCTGTCAAAAGGTGGGGCTGGGACCAACATCATCCTTGGGCTGCCTCTCTGGGCCTTCTACTACACCGTCTTCGACATCACCGATCAGTCCGTCTCCCTCTTCCCAAAGAAGAAGCTGCAGAGTCAGCCCAGCATCCCAGCCCAGAGCCCCATGGAGCCCCAGACCCCTCAGAGCCCCCAGAGCCCCCAGGTGATACCCTGGCCCTTCGGGCCCTTTACGGGCCCTTCTCCCTGGACCCCTATCCCGGGGCACCAGCCGGGAAGCTGGCCTGCACCGGTGGGAGGCTCTTGGCCTCAGCCTTCCGATCCTTGGACCCCTTTCGGCGGCTTCGAAGAGGAGAGAAAGCCGGCGAAGCAGGGAGAGGGGCGGAGGATGGGAGAGCTTCCAGTGCACATCTGATGGAGTTAGAGATGTGCAAAACGTGCTTTTGCGACTTGCCCCCGTACAGAGACTGGTGCACAAGCGGTGCAAGACATCAGAATGCCTTATAATGGGTTTGGCTGTTTGACCATCGGCGGCGTCGCCAGAATGTACAGGTGAAAGGCGCCGAACCGTGCATATATGCCCAGAAACACTGCATGGCAGAAAGGCTATAAAGCCATAATTCAATTTTCGGTGGAGGCAGCTGCAGTTCAAAGCAGCTTCCGGAATCTTTGCAAGATTTAGTAGTCGGCCCTGCTACAGGATGTGTTGTTGCTCAGAAGTGGCACGCGCACCTCGTAAAGGAGGCAGGTCCTGACCTCGGCTATAGCATGTCAGCTAACCCGCACTGTAAAAATTCAGCTGGTTCTCGTTCTTCAGGAGTAGTCTTGACCATGGCTCGTCGAGCGTGTACACAGATAATATGTCTGTTCCATTCACAAATATGTATATACATACATACATACATACATACATATATATATATATATATATGTGTGTGTGTGTGTGTGCGTGCGCGTGTAAAAGTATATGTTCAGAGCTATACGTCCGCATACCTATACACCCATTTCAAACATCGACAGACATGTGAGTCTAATTGTCTACATACCTGCATACATACATACATAGTTACGGACAGGTGCATGTACATGTTTATCTCTGGTTTTCTAACACACATTTAGTTGTAGCGGAAGCTTTATCTCTATCTCTGTCTTCATCACTTGCTCCACCCTATCTCTATCCGTACCTTATCTCTACCACTCTGTGTACTTATAGCTGTAGCTTTGCCTGTACCTGTACCAAGATCTACACCTCTTTTATTCCTATACCTTCACATTTTGCATACCCACATACGTATGTAGTGTATGTCTACGTGGTCGTGAGAGCGTGTGGTGGTCTAGTTGTCTAGCTGTTTTTCCTTTTGTTGCCTTGTCGGTCTGCATGTGTATATGTCCCTGTGTACCTTCGTGTGTGCATGTGTTTAGGTGTGTGTGCGGGATGCGTGCAGATGTGTCCGTGCCCCTGCCCAGCAGTCATCGAGCTACCTAGAATCTAGAAGCTTCAGTCCCAGGCTTTGTTGGAGGTCTCCAACTGCTACCTGCCATATGATATATGTCTTCTGGGGAACGAGCTGAACCCGGTATCGCAAGAGTTGGACCTGCAAGGCATGTATTTAAATTTATACACACTCCGAATCTTATTGCCCACATCAGTACTTCCGCACAGGCCGCCTCAGGCGATAGGTACCTGGCAGTCCGGCTCAAAACGCTAAACCTCGAACCCCCCACCCTGCGCCCAACTTCGACCCGTAAGGCAGTGGGGACCCGTGGATACCTCCTTCACGAACCTCTGCCTCGATGGCTCAGTTTCCCCCCTGCAGCTCGGCTTATGGTAGTCTCGGGTTTAGGAGGGTTCAGGCATAGGCACATGAGAGAGCTCCAGCGAAAAGCATGGTTCGGGGGCGAGGGCTTGCGGTCAGCATGTCTGTGCTCACAGCACAACTTCGTGGCATGAACATCAGTACTTCTTTGAAGCTTCGACACCCTCACCGCTGACATCATCTGCTGTCAGAACTCCACCCAGGACCTAACTCCTCAATGAGAGCCCTAGCACCGCAACCGAAAGCCCCTATATAAACACCAGCGCACCCACGCAAGCCCAGCCACTGCACTCCTAAAGCCACTGACCCCAAGCCCCATGCAAACCCTCAAACTGCGTGTGCTCCGTCTCAAACTCTCTCCACAGCCCCAAAACCCTACTGATCCCATGTGAGCCCCTCGCCTCTCATAGAAGCATCCACCAAAACTCTGAAACTTATAATTCCCATACATGCACTCCCCCACACCTCCGAAAACCTAAACCCCCAAATTCGGCTGAGACCCAACTTCTAGGTCGCATCGGCGCCTGGGTCTCCTGGACTGCGACGAAGCGCTCGCACAAGGCGTGCGCTGGAAGAAGGCCTAGGGCGCTGCCTCTGTGGGGTTTTGGGACAGTAACAACCCTATGTCCGTTGATGCAGAGGGTTTAGTTTGGGTTGGGGGTGCAGTTTCAGGGCTGCCGGTGGGTTCTACGGTAGAGGGAATGGGGTGGGACTTTCGGATTGTTTTGGGTGAGTGTTCCAAGCTCCGAGCACCTGGTTCCATCGAAATCGCCTGGTTGGCTGTCGCCCCGCACCATGCCGGAGAACCGCGGTGATATCTATGCTACGGACGAAGTGAGCAAAAAGCAGCGAGTTTCGATCACGAAGATCTACCAACTCATGTTATAGTCAACAGCATTGGCCACATGATGCTGGAGATGATATGCGGATGTCCGCTCTTCTCCGGCTGTGCTCGTGGATCTGAACAACCCACGCCTCCGCGATTTGAGGAATAACTTCCCAAAGCATGGACTCAGAGATCCGAGAGTTGCGACTTGGGATGGTCTGAGCATGTCTGAGCTCCTCCAGTACTCGCTGGGGCATTGCGAGATCCTGAACTGGGCCTCAGAAAATCTAGCCCTCCAGGTTCGTGCGCGGGTGTAAGGCGTAGGGACGAGGATCCCCAACGCAGAAGCTTCGAGCCCTCTGATCCTCAATGTAAACCGCCAGGTGGGCGCCCACACGCCACCGCAGACGCAGATGGTCGCAGGAGAAAAGAGGGGCAACAGCGGGACCACGACCGCTGCGGGCGCAGGGCTTCCTGAAGCGCTGAAACCGGTCTTGCCAGAGCGTTTCGTACGTAGGATGCAAATGGATTGGCCAATTCCGACAGTGCAGCACCCTGCTCACAATCTTCTTCCTAAAACTAAGCCCCCCGGATGCTTGAAGGATGGTCACTTACTTCGTGCCATGCTCTGGGGTATTAAAAGAGATACGGGGCTGTGGAAGAATTCTTTAGGTCCCCTCGCCCGCGAGGTGCATACCCGGAAGCTTCTTGAGACCTCTGGTACATCCGAAACCCAGCGGCTCCCGCCCCAAGCTATTGCATTGCTTTTTATCGGATAATGAAACATCATATCATACCATATAGGTAGATCACACAGCAAACCATCTCATCTCCCTACATTTCATCTCCTGCCATGTCATGTCATGTCATGCCATACCAGGTCATACTATGTCGCGTCATGTCATGCCGTTTCATGTCATACATATCTTGTCATATCATAGCCTACTGTATCATTTTCTTTCACACAATAACATATGAAGTTTTCATATGAATGTATACTGGCATGAATTGTTTTCTGCAAGGTTGTGCTATATGACGATACCATATGGGGCAACATGTTTTGTGGTACCATATGATATGGTCGCCTGTTTTATTCCGTCATATGCTAATGTAGCAAATTGCATTGTATTTTATTGTCGTGCTCAGAGCATGGTATGGTATTGTGTTCTTGACTGTACTGATTTATTCCATTCTGTAGTAGGAATTAACATCTCTATAATGCCCGCCCAGCGGCTGCCGTTTTCAGCTTCTCCCCATAGAAACGATTGCTCGAGCAGCTGCCAGACGGCCGGCTGTCTGTGACTTGGCAGCGGTTAGGATTGAGGGCTTTGGGGAGGTAGTGTTTGGGTTGTTTTTTGATTCTCAGGCTGTGCGATCATGATCATGGTTACGGCCGTAATGATGGTGGTCATGACGACCATTGCATAAATCCCGGGTTGTCGGGTTCATTGTTTTTAGAGCTCTCCTTGCTCAGTTGGGGAGTCTGGCAAGGGGTGGAGGTGCTTCTAGCAGCAAAGCACCATGTTTTCGCTTCAGTCTCCATGTCGTGCTGTGATGTGGCACAGCCTTTCCGCAGGAGCATTCAGGCCTGTTTTTCGAGAAACCTGAGCGCAGAACAAGCCCTGAGCACCACTTGAAGCCAACAGCAGAAGCTCCGGACATGTCGGTTCTCAGATCTCGAGAAGAGTCACGGCTCCAAGAGCTGAACCCTGGCTCCTCCGCCTCCTCCATGAACAGCATCAGCCGGTAATCCGAATTCTTGAAAAGTCAGCGTCACGAAACATAGCCCGAAAGCCTCGTAGGCTAAATGGGATACAGTCCGAACACCTGAAGATAAATGCGATAGGCCCCACACCTCGAAATCTCCCAGGACAAAGCATGGGTGACAAGAAGGGCGGCGGCGATGAGATCAACTTCCCAGAGGTAACGAAGGGGGGTTTAATTATTCGGGCGTCTACATAAAATCACCAGACCGCGAGCACGTCGGGACATAAGATTTGAATAGTACAACAAACTCCTTGTGGCTAAACACCCCGAACAACGCAAGAGCCTGAACCCTAACCAGAAACCCAAACCTTAAGCCCTAAGCACCTTCGAGGGAAAAAAGCACCTTCGAGGGAACCCAAGCTCAAACCATTTTCCCGTTTCGCACTGCCAGGAAAGTGCGTTCATGCAGCGGAAGATCGAGGTGCTGCAATACAGGCTCGGCCTGGCTTGACCCTGTTCATGGGTTAGGCATCCTTACGCAATCATGCGGGTGAGCCTGCATGTAAGTCCTTCTCTCTATATGTACGTGCCTGCATATACGCAGCTCAAGAGTTTTAGCATGTACACCGCTTTAAGTCCGGATGTGGTCGTGCATGAACGCAAGGCACATGTAGCTTATGTATGTATGTAGGTAGGTATGTATAGTATAGAGATACATATACCTGAATACTCGTGCATCTATACCTTTCTACTGCGTGGACACCTGCTCTCCTGCTTTCTCGCTCTTTGGAAGTTTGGTTTTCAACCCTGAAGTCCCACCTTGCATTCGATATTCGAAACCAGGATCATGATGAAGGACGAGCAGATTCTGGCCTGCCGCAAATCTGAGGATGAGCTGAGGCGGCCACGCTATGTGAAGGTCAAGTTTCTTCTGTGTTGGGAGAGTACAGACTTTCACCTGTAGGCAAGAGGTTGCGCTGTGCCCGTGGCATCGCGTGATCCCTGCGTCGCAGCTCGACGGCTCCCCAACCTTGCTGACTGCAGGAAGCGCATCGCAGAGCTTGA